CATTCAACTATTAGCATGAAATTTGAAGTAAACATAAATAGAATCAGTTGTCGAAGGTGCTAATTTCGCCGACTTCACTTACAACTTCAACGACTGAAAAATCCACAAAAACTCTTCCCTCAACCGAAGCTGTTTTGATATTCCAATACTACGAGAAGTTTGCTATTAAACGATATTAAGCTTGCTTGCAAAACGTTTTACTTTTGGAACAAATTTTTCAATTGGAAAAAACGGCCATTACTTATTAGCCAACCCAATAAAAATGAAATAATTGTAAAAGACAACAACTGGAACCATGGGAAATACCACATACGATCTTCACTCCATCCACTGATCGGAATACGCCCCCACCCCCTCATTCGCTTGGTATCCTCCCAACCTTACGGACGTTTCACTTGATAACATGAGGATCTTTGGCTGTCGGGAGAATATTGTCTCATTGAGAGGACAGAGATCAGCAGAAAAGGGTGAGTCTCGCTGAAGGCTGCTTTGTACCCCAATGAGCTTCACTTGTTAGAGTTTTTTTTCTGAGTGGTGCTAACGCTTTGGTGGCAAAATTACACTTGAAAAACCATTGAGTATATGAAAATTCTTTCAAGGGGACTGAATCGGGAGTGAAACGTAACAGGTACTTTACGGGGCACGCCCCACTGTGTCTGGGGGAGGGGAGAAGCACACAATAGCACCACTGTACCCCTTCCCTTGATTAAAGCCTAGCTTGAGCAGAGCGCAGACGACAGAATGTTTTCGCAGATCAGACATTATCGCGCTGCCCTGTCTACCCCTCGGACGAAACAGAAACATATTCTTTTAAAACTCAATGCATTCTGGCGTGCGGCACGCATTCCACTTGCATTCAGAACCGTAGTGTCTTTCTGAATGCGATCTGGTCTATACAATGACTTGCAAAGTTTCGTATCTATAACCCAGTGTTTCTATTCTCCCAAACGGATCTAGCACCGATTTTGCCGTCTCGGGATAAAAGATGTATGTCGGCAATGCGTACAATCGGCGAAACAGGCTAATTTCATAGTGATTTAGCGATCAGCAGTGTGCTTCTCGTTGATATAGTGAACTATTGCAGCTTGCCTATTGCGTTGTGCAGTTTATCGAGAAGGATTCGAGCTGACACTCGGCAAAGTTTTTGATGCAACTGTGAATTTTAGGCCTAGACATGACAAGCAGCAAGGTTTGTCGCTTGCTATTGTATTTTTATTGTTATTTTATTTTATGTTTCTTATGTCTTTTATTATGGATCCGTCGTGTCCAATCTTACTTTCAATGTTATTAAAGGAGGTCATGTTCCTTGGTGAAGTTGAGGAAATTTTGGATATCATAGAACCTGAGCAATTCAAGAAAATCATAGACCCGCTGTTTCGGCAGTTGGCGAAATGCGTGAGCAGTCCGCACTTCCAGGTATTTTTTTTGCTACCTGCAAAGAAGAATTTCGTAAATAAAAAGGATTTGTACAGGTTGCTGAACGGGCGCTATATTTCTGGAATAACGAGTACATTCTGTCACTAATTGAGGATACAAGTGCACAAGTGAGTGGCCTTGAGAGAACTCAACCTCGTGAACCGCTTGGACTAATATTTGTGATTTCTATCGCTGTAGGTTATGCCTATAATGTTCCCGGCATTGTATCGCATTTCGAAAGAGCACTGGAATCAAACAATCGTGGCTCTAGTCTACAACGTCTTGAAGACCTTCATGGAGATGAACGGCAAAACTGTTTTTGACGAGCTGACCAGCACCCGACCAAAATGGAACGACAAAAAAGTTGTGCTTTTGTATAAGTCAGGGAATATGCGTCACATTGCGACAAGCTCTAGGTCTTTTATTAGTGTTATTGTTCCAGGGTAATAAATTCAATGTTTTGAAACAGAGAAAGCTTCAGTCTCTTTTTTCATTTTTTGTTTTTCCTTTCTTATTTTTTCATCCGTTGTCGATGTTTCACATTCAAAATGCTGTGTACTAGATCGCCTGGAACTCGAATAATATACCCTGCTAAGCCTCGAAATATTTGAAAAAAAAGATAAAATTCTGCAAAAAGTATTTAAAATTCACTTCCATGGATCGTGGTTCTTTCCGTGTGGTGTGGGAAGAATGGGTCCGCAGCCTGCCTAAAAAGTATCCATGCTACTTTATCCGATTGGAGTGCACAGGAATGGGGTTGGACGGTAGCGATCCACGGGCCTCGTCTCCACACTCCGCTCGCGCTGCTGCACGGTTAGCCAGGCGTCTAGTTATGGCCAAACATCGCTGCTATTCGTGCTTCATAAGTTCTGGCTGCCTTATCTACTCTGAATTGACGTGTTTGGCTGTTGAGGATTTTCTTGCTGACGCAGTTACCTCCTCATCATCGTACGGGGCGAAGGGCGCAGTTCGGCGACGGGGGGGAGGGCGAGGTGGGCATTTTCGCTTTCCCACTAATATGTGTCGATCCATAGCCTTTTTCTCGATTTGATACGTATTTACCATTGTGGCTAGACGGGAGAGACATAAGTGATCGTTAACTATGCCGCAGCCCGCACGCGCCGGCGATGTGAACCGCGGGCTTTCTCATAACTCGTATTTAAAGTCCAAAATGGGTACACCGGACTTTCACTGGTAAAACCCCAAGTCACAGTACACAGATCATTACTGTTTTCGCGATCTTAAGTTTGCCTGTTGTCGCCAATCAAACTAATCATGGAACCAATCGTCCTTTGCAGACGAGGCGTCGCACGAGCGACTTCTCAAGCAGCGCTGTAGGATATTACGATCCTCTTGTCACAATACCCGGCTAGACGAGCTTGCTCCAGCTTCACAAGAGTTCACAAGTTTCACCAGAGTGAGACTTGTAAACCGGAAGTAATGAAGCAGTGAAAGTGCAAAATGCCCCCCCCCCCCGTCGCACTGCGCCCGCGCGAAGTATAGAGGCGGCTTCCGCGATTTACTACACTCCAGCCTTGTTCCCGTGCATTTTTGAGCAAAGAAAATGGCACGCTACTGCAGCTGTGGACCTAATGACATGTCATCTGGAACATTTCACGAGGTGACTGTACAGTTTGTAAAATAAAGATCTTTTACAACTTTTACAAACTTATGGAAGTAGTCAGTAATGTTTCGAGGCCAACAGGCGGAATGGTGTCTGACTTGAAAATTCTGTGTTGTTGGTGACCTGTCCCAGATTTCAGCCTTTGATTCTTACAAGATTTTTTAAGTTTCCCAACATTTTTTGTTTTTTTCTAACTTTTTTTCTTCATTCAACTACTTTGGAAATATAGACACGTATAGGCGTCAGACCATCAATGACACACAATCCCCCATTGAATTCTGTCTCGCTTCACTTTATGACATAGAGTTGCGCTTTCGTGGCGTGCGACTGATGGCAATCATTGTTTCTGAGTCGAAAATGATTCGCAGATGATCCGGTTGCGTAAAATCGGTGGACCCAGGACCCAGCTTCTATTCAAATTGTTATTATGGGTCCTTCAGGAGAATGACTCAATGACTAACAGAATCACTCAGCTGCGGTCGTTGAATGATGTTTTATGGATTCAATTTAATTTCTTTTTCCAGTTTTTTTTCGTCAAAATGTCTTTTGTCGGTTTTTTTCCATGTTTACCATCTTTTTCCATCATTACCTCTGAATTTCACTTGTCAGGGAACGAAAGCGTGAGAAGGACCGAGAAGATTTGTGGAAGAGATTGGAGCAGCTGGAGCTGAACCCTCCCGATGCTAATAATCCTCCTCGTATATTCCCCAATACACCGTTGACTCAGTTCATTCAGGTATGCCCAGCAAACCTGTTTCCGCCTCATATTTTTTTGTGTTTTTGAATATGATTAACGAAAAGCGAATTACTTATGTTTGTCCAACACTAAATAAACATGAAACGGAGACTGGCATACGTACATAACATGAAGGAAGATCGTATTTCGCTGGCCCTGACAGGAAATGAGGGTCGCGTTGGAGCCACTACGTTTTCCTTTGAGGTTTCGCTAAGCACTTTTGAAAAAATAATTCCCCCCCATGTTCGCGGGTGTCGTCTCGAGAATCCAGAGCAGTACGATAAAGCGTCAAGGATAAAGCCTTTGGGGCGGACTAACCCCCTGCTGAGGTGCACCATGCATTTCGCGGCGGTTCGGATGCGAGGGGCATTTTGCTCTTCCGCTAGTCGCCTTTACTACTTCTGTAAAATAGCAGGTTTTGATTTCTGCGTGGACTCTAGCAAAGCCGCGAAGTGGTGCAGATATACAAGAATAACGGATCTTCACGAGATAGTCTTTACGGGTTTTGCTGCATACCATTCGACGCCCCCGAACCGAACCGCGCTTGTTCAGCTTCTAATCAGAATCGTTGCGTAATTTTTGCACCACTTGTCATCTGATGGGGGGGGGGGGTAAATACTATACTGGCGTCCTAGCATGGCCGTAGTCAGGGGACCCAGGCTCCGCCGGAGCTCCGAAATTTCATCCAGAGTAGTGAAGACATTCTGATGAATTGATATCAGCCTATTATGAAAGGATAAAAATACCGATTCGAACATTGGCATGTCCCTGCAAACCGTTAAGTAAGTAATATCAGAATGTCTTCACTATTCATGGAGTTTCAGAGTGTGGTGCATCCGAAAGGGACTGCTCTAGCCTTCGAAAGTCCGAGCTTTCATGGCAAAGTATGGATTGAATATCTATCCGAATTTGGACTACACCTTTTTTGTGAAATGGACCTGTTATAATCTTAATGAACTTTTATTGAATTTTCCTCATTAATTTACAAGCTTCTTGGAATTATTTTGTGTAATATACACAAATACAAGTTGTCTGACAACTGATTGGGGTTCCTGACCTTCTTAGAATGAACTTTGCAGCCGAGACCTAGCTCGACCTCCTCTTTAACTAAAGAAGGGGAAAAATCACCTGCTAGTGGAAAAAAGCTGTCGAGTGGTAGCGTTGGTGGTACAAGCCCGTCAGGAAAGAAACAGTAAGGTATGCACTGTGCTTTTTTTTCTTATTCTCCCATTTTGAAAAAAAATTTGAATCTTGTTTAGGTATGTAATGACAGCTACAAGATTATAAGCTCAGATTGTCAGGCTGTGTACAGTACCCCCGAAAATTGCGCGTGAAGTTAAAAATGTCGCGTCTTGAACGCACACAATCGGACGCACCGTTCGGGCCTAAGAACAGATCAACACTGAAAACTAGCAAACTAACAATGGGAAGATCCGTCACTTTACGAAAACCATTCCATATCCGTTCCCTATTTAGATCCCGCGCAACCCTCTTTCCCATTTATTCGCCGATACCCTTGTGAGCTGGCCATCCCTTCCCGTCCTGCCTCCCGAGTTCGTAGGACGATCTTTCTCGGTAGGATGCACTTGTCCTCATTCATGTACTCTCTATATGTGTTGCGTTAAAAGTTTTTAGTGATGGTCTGAAGAAGGGCTTAGGCCCAGAACATTACCAGTAAAAGTTAAGTTGGAATACAGCTGTCATTACATACCTAAACAGTATTTGTAAGGATGAAGCTTAGGGAACCATCAAAAATATTTTGGTTAAATTTTTAGCTTTTTCTTACTGGACCATTTGATTTGTTGAATATAGATGTAGATGGTATTTTCCGCGTTCATACTTTGCGAATGTGGAGGATCCACAACTTGGGAAACGCGCTATTTGGACGATCGGCGACAAAGGTTTGGAAAGGAACCGATCGACTCCGCCCACTAGCGTATCTCGGACGTCAAAAATGCGCTAGTGGGTGGAGTACTTTGATTCCCATCTATTCTTCCGTCCTCGTCCGGTGGGGTCGTTTTTGGGCCGAGAGAGTTTACTTGATTTGTTGATTTTCCTGTTGCGCGCGCTATCCACATCGTTGAGAGATTCTCATTGGGAGTGGTGGGAGTGGGAGGGGAGGGGGCGTATTTGCACGTGGCGTAGGGGGGAGAGGGGTCGTGAGTATCTTCGGAAAATTCCTCCCGTACGTGGCAAAACTGCACCCGTACCTTGCACGACGACATGGTTTCTGGAAAATTTTGGAAAAAGTTCGAAGTCTCCCATAAGTGGGGAAAAGGGAACTAACGTATTTTGGAGGGCCACGCGGCTCGCGGCGAGTGATGACTCATCGACTCTTCTGCTCCCTCCTCGGCAAAATAGAAGTAATTTCATGTTTAGGACATGAATATAACACCGTCCTAGCTATATTCAAAAGTTAAAACAGTTAACGCTGAAAAATGCGAAGAAGCAGTTGTAGGTTGGAAGATTCTTGCCTAAACTACAAAAGATTGCTGCCTGTTTGTTGTTGACTGTTATTGTTGACTAAAAAAGTTCAGACATTTGTTTTCAGCTTCTGTGGGATTTCTCAGCAAGTTCCCGGTGAATCTTGTTTGTTTTATTCTAATTTGGCTGCTAGATTCGCGCTTCAAGTATGCCGATGAGTCATCACTCGTCGCGAGCCGCATGGCCCCTCCCAAATACGTTAGAACCGGGAAATCCTCGAGGTGGTACCTAGAATGGGGGAAGAGGGAAGGAGAGTCATACTAGGAAAGGAAGATTGGAGTGTCGTATTTACGAAAATTTCCTCCGCGACTGGGCAACCCGGAACCCGGAATCCCTTCCCGCGATCCGGAATCTTGGATTCTGCGATTATACATATATTTTTCTGCTTGCTAGTTCTCCCAGATTATAAATTCTCCAAATTTGCAAAGTGAACGCACTTCCAGCCTTTCCGATCTGCTAAATAATTGTGTGATCGTTGCAGGACCCGTTTGTTGCTATTGATTTGGCTCTTTTGTGATTACATGGCTCAGATCGTTCACAGTTTCGCCGCAATCGACCATTTTTTTATTCGCACAAACAGTTTTACCCACTCGTGCTCCTAGATGATCAAACAAACTTGCGTCTCTAATTAGAGGTTTGTAACCCGCCGTTTCCTAATGAACGTGACACTTACTTTCTGGTATTAATTTCGTGTCAGCCTCTCCTGGCCGCTTCATTGCTTAACATGATTTTTAACACATGAATTGTTATATAGCTATCTCGTATTGTGTCGTGTGACTTTACCTTTCTATTACACTTTGTGTTTACTTGTTATAATGCAGCAGCGTTTATATCATCTCGTTCTATGACGAACTCCCCGTTTTAAGAGACGACCCTCGCGCTTCTTCTTTATCTTTATCGTATGTGAAACGTTTAGTTAGTCGGTCGCGCTCATCGTTGCTACATTGATTGTTCGAATTGAATTCCTAGGAAACTTGTGTGTGTAAAACCGCGTTCAGACTTGTCATCGCGCGATCAGATCGCTCGATTGGACACGCGTGCCACGACCGGGGGCGCTCTACTGCCAAGAAGTGCGCAGCCGTAACGGCAGAATTCAAACTGGGCCGTGTTCACGCAGTGCCAGTTTGAATTTTGCCGTTGCGGTGGTGCACCACTTGGCTGTGGAGCGCCCGCTTTCGTGGTCGCGCGATCCGATCGAGCGATCCAATCGCGCGATCGCGAAGACTGAATGCGGTATAAGAGTTCCGCGATTTTGCGGTCTTTTTTCTCTATGTCTTTGAATTCCCCCCCCCCGCCCCTTATCATGCTGTATAGGCGAGTTAAATAGATATACTATATGCAGTCTAATGCGACCCCCGTAAAAACTCGAAAATTCGGAGCCTCCGAACGCCTAGAAATCAGCAGCTGAGGGAGTCTTTGTTGCAATCTTTCACACAGGATATCCCTTTGAGCGCATACTCAGTCTGATGTGTGCATGTGCATCAAAACGAGCGTTAAATCTAGGTAGTTGCTAAGATACAGTATAGTATATATTTATTTGCAAATGTAATTACTGTGCATAAATCTTGTCTATAAAGCGACAACGCAACGACAATGTGAAAACTTCACAAAATACCCGAGAATCTGTGATATAAGCCATAGCGTTTTGGGCTATGTACTTATGTGAAAACAAAAGAAAAGAAAAACAGAAAGAACCGTGAATACAAAAATCGAACATAACAAAGTGAGACAGACTTATGAACCATGAAATTCACAATGTTTGACCGTATACAGTACGACTACCGTATCATTGAATTAGGCGTCATCATCATTACGGTGACTCGCTCAAAAGCACTTCTTCATCAATTTGTATAAGAGTGCTTTCCGACAATTCTACATCATCGTCACCACCTATCAATTCTTGTTCCGTAAAACTCTAAAAAGCTAAAATGAGATGCAAGCGAATGGAGAGGCGCTGTTCGGCTAAGAAAGGGCACGTTACACTTTCGTTAGTTCCTCTTGCTGGTTCGTGTTGACTGAGGCAGGGTTTAGACTTCGTGATTACGCGCTGTGATGCGCTTCCACTGGTGCTCCAATGCTATGGACGGCATTACAGCCGCAACCGGGTATCGACTGGAGCGAGCCACTTGTGATTTGTGAGTACTAGAGCGGGCGCTGCCTCTACACAGTCTGCTACCCTCCTATTCTTCTATACACTCTTTTCGAAACACAGGCGGCTGGCACTGATCGATACCCGTCTGTGGTTGCGTCCCATCTACAATATCGCAGCGGCACTGCTGTGGAACGCGTCATCGCAAAGTCTGAACTCTGCCTAATAAGCCCTTTTTTAGGTGAGACCTGTAAACTTATGTGAATCCATGAAATGTGACAAGTGGTCACTGATTACAGGAACTTCCACTCTTGCCGATTTGGTCTGCACATCATCCACTGAGTACCTGGCGCTCCCAATAAGCCGAACTGCGCTTGATAAACAACTTCGACCATCTCTCTTGACACATAAAAGCTGCAAGTAACATTTTCGACGAGGCCACTTGCGAGACTTTTTTGTCATCTACTGATTTGAAACCGAGGTCCGCTCAGTCCATTAGAAGGAGCCTGCAAAGTTGCTAATCCAGAAGAGCTTGTCTTTAAAAGCTCGATTCCAAGCGCACTTTCATAGTTGGCAGGTTATTTAACTTGGCCTTCAAATTTATAGGTGTAATGTACTTGCCATTTAGGTACAATTCTCCAAGAAACTAAGAATAAGAGTAAATGGTTAGATTGATATTTAGCGGATAAATGCCGACCTAATTAAATAATCGTTTTCAAATATTCTATAATTCATTTTGACATATGATATCCATAGTTCATAGCATGAAATATATATAACCCATCATAACAATTTAAGGGTTTAGTGATGAGAACCCGCGAAGGGGGAGCCGTCCGTTAATAGAGGGACTTTACAGAACTATGGATGACGAAGCAGAGAATGTTCCAAGAGGACCTGCTCGCCAAACAGGGCACTCCTCTGTTCAAGCTTCGATTCTCTGTGCGCAAGTTTTGTGGCGAAACAGCGACCCCCCCGCCGCCAAATTTCATCATTCCCATTCCCTATCCCCCATTTTACTCACAATCAGTCCTCCCAACTTCCTAATCTCCCGAAATTTTTTTCTCCCATGGTTCTCTAGGGTTCCTCGAAGACTGAACCGCCGTCGAGCCGAGCGGGAGGAGGGAATATATAGCGCACGTGAAACAGGAAAAACTGGGAGAAGTTTCACAAATGCAGGCAAATACGATCCCTCCTTTCTCCACCTACCAAACACCACCCTCCCGCTGGGAATTTCCAGCGTAGGTGCCTGCATGTGTCTCGCTCCCCCCTCCTCCCTCTTCTCACGGACCAAAGTGAATCTCACCTCTACACATGGCTTCGATAACATAAGAAACTTAAATGTAAAATGACAACTGATCATCTGACCCGATTGAGTTTTGAGGGCAAAGAGTCAGGTGCTTGCTGCGTACTAAAAAATCGGGAAATCCGCGGAAAAGATTTAATACTTATCGACTTAACTCCACCTCAAATATTAGGGTGTCCACAAAGTTCGTTGGCCATTTGTAAACAGCGTCGCGTTACGCAACGCGTTGTGATTTTGCATAATGGTTTCGCAATACTGAAAGTACTCGCGATGGGCTATCTTCTGAGCTAGCTAGCTCTAAATTTCCTTTCCTGATCTTCCCACAATAAATGCATGAAATATGATAGTTGCTGACTACTAAATTCGGACATTAACTCCAGACGTAGGCAAAACCAAGGATCTTCACATTGTGATAACACCCTTCTCAGAACTCGGATATAAATGGGGGACTCGCTTCACAATGGAAAATATGGATCGAGATTATGCCGAGGTTCTTGGTTTTCTCTGCGTCACGGCGTCGTCCCACTATCCCGCGCCCTACACCCAAACAATTATCGCCAGCCAGTGACGAACGCAGAGACCCTCTCTAAGAATTACAGGAAGGATCCAAAGTGAAAGACTGTGCCGCCTTGGGTCCCAGAAACTTGACAAATCCTATAGAGTTGCATCTGGACAAACGCGCGCCCCCCACAAAGAGAGAGATACTCAGCGGTCCTGAGTACGAGCTGGGCCTCAAGAACGTTACCGCATCACCCCATATAGCCCGGAAATAGTCTATGCGATTACTCATTCTTCCGGTCATCGCCGTAACTTCGCTGATCGGAAACGTGAAAAGTGCGCGAACCTCGAGGACGTGATCGAGGACATTTGGGCGGGTTTCGCGGCTGCCCGCTTCCGAGAGAATGGAGTGCCTCTCTACCCGATCGTTGGCGAAAGGTGGTGGGTATGCATGGAGATTATATCATGGACCGGTAAGTTCAACTTGGTGAGTTATCTTCATAAGCTCTGCAAAAAACGAATGGCCAACGAACTTTGTGGACACCCTAATAAGTAACCATACACCTGCTCTCCGCAAATCCTCGGATTTTCCAAGTGTCAATCTTCACTGATTCTTCGATTCCACGGCGGCATAAAGATGACGTGGCCTAACGGACTCACCTTGCACACACGGGAAAGAATCTACTTATAACAAGAATGCTGAGTTGTGGGCAAAAGTCGTACCCCATGCGGGTGTCGAACCCGCATCTCACGCTTTCCGGGCGAGTACGCTATCCATTACGCCACCAGGGCCGCTTTTACCCTCTCAGCTCAACGGCTTTTATGCCGTAGCCTATCAGCACTCACACGTTTAACTTGGTGAACCGGTCAGCCGTAATCGTTAGATATCGACATATGACAAAACATCTTTAAAAAAATTTTTAAAGCCTACGGCCTTGCGGTTCCATGCCGATATCTAACGATTACGGCTGACCCAACCAAATTATAAACATTCGGAACGCATACTGCGGCGTTAAACAGCAGTTATCATTATAAAACAGCTTAAAAAATCTACTTATAATCCGCAGCACTGTCCGGCTTGGAGGAACATTTTCCATTTTCATCACTACATTCTTGTCAGTTACGTAATAAGGGGACTTACTTTGCCAAGGAGACCTGTTAACTTCCCTGAAGCTACTATATGGTACGAGTGAGCCACTTATGCCACAGGAATCAACAGGTTTTCACAAGATGGCCTATACAAGCTTAGCTGAGTACAATTCGATGCCCCCAGCAAGCCGAACTGTGCCTAATCCAGCAATTTCCAAACGTATGTGAACCGCAATTGCTGGTTTGTCACCAAACTGGTAGTGCCCATCTCAGAACCAGTGACAGGTTAGTTTTGAGGCGCCATGTAGGGGGTGGTATGGGGATTATTACTGGTGGTGACACGAAGTAACACAGCTGATAAGGGGCTTCAGAATCTGATGGATAGTAATATCAAAATCTAGCGTCCACCTGGTAGCGCCATGTTTACATTCCCCATGACGTAGGATGTAGGATGGGGACAACGATGGTTAGGGACAGAAAGTGATAACAAAGATAAAGAGGGCAGGAGAAGTTTCAACGATAGAATCTGCTAGCCTACAAAACAAACCAGCGGTGCGGTTCTATCATCAGGCCCTCGGGGAGTTGAAGCATCTATATTCTTATCGGTAGTAGTATCATATTCGACCCGCTAAACTCACTGGATTTAAGATGAATGGCGGTGTCGGTACGACCCCCTCCCCCTTCCCCAACAGAATTGCGATGAAAAAGCAAATGGCGAGCAAACGAAAGGGCGAATGACTGTCACTGATATGACTGTCTTTCCTCAATAACATTAATAAGGACCATTTGAAGGGTCTGCTGCTGCATATAGTGTACCTGCAGGACTAAGGTTTTGCGGCAGGGGATGATGTGAGGTATTACAGCGGTCCATTTTGCGAATAGATCAGGTTGTATGCTGACGTATTCTGTGGCCAATGCAGAGAAAAGACTGGGCGAAAGAAAAGGTTACGGCAGTACCTACAGAACATGATGTCCTATCAGCTTCACCGACTTACTGAAAGATACCTTGTGGTACAGGTGACCGTGAGCGTTACCCAAAGTGCTTTACACCTCGGCGACAATGCGTCCCAGTGATAAGAAGTATCGATGAAAAGCGCTTTTTTAACGCATCTGGAATTCCCAAAAACTATGGAGGCATCGGAGGTTTCGTGCTGACTGCAATCCATGCAGATTTTACTCTGCGAATATTCTACCAGGGAGATGAACGGAGGTCGTTTTCCGAGGTGAAAAAGTTCATTTCCGGAAACGTAACGTCGATACTTCAGGAGTGGACAGTTACTGTACTGATGCAGCTTCTGACACACAAGAATTCTTGATCAAATCCTGTTCAAAGGCAGCTGGCACGATAGATCTCCAAAACGTGTAGGACTAATACGCCTAGCAGGACTGAATTCGGCGCCTCTGAGCAAGCGCTGCGTGGCGCCTTTTCCAAGAAAGGTAGCTTATAGCGCCCTATCGAGCTACAACATACCGACCCAGACGCCCACGCGCCCGCCCGCCCACAAATGTCCGACCGATGCTGATGCTCGTATCGCTTCATTTGCGAAGTACAATATAAGGCGAAGGGATTGATATGAAGCGGCAGCGCATGCTGCATGGATATATAAGTACATACATGCCCCAGTATCTGCCGTACAGTTATTGGCACGATGCCAACGAGAAACTCGCCCAAAACTGCTTTCTGAGTCGTGCTGAACAACGGCTTTTTTGCAGATTGACCGTTTCACTTCTCTTTTTCCCCACTCTCCCACTATTTAGCACCCTGCTACCATTTCAGACAGGATAAGTTATCGTGCCAACTACCTTTAAAGACTCTGGAACAAATGGTAGCCATTCCTACTTCCACATCTCGCGTTCCACAGGGTGGAACTTCTTGAATATTTCTGGTTTATGCGAAGGCAGTCGAAACCAACAAAACCTTAATAGCTTCTTGCATCTAGTTCTAGCCCTCTTGAGATTGCTCTGGATAGTAGCCTCCTGGCATTATGGTTCTTTCAAAAAGGAAAAAAAACTGCGATGTGGTAACAATAAAAGGCAGTTATAGTCTAGTTCGCTACGAATGAAGGAGTGGTTTAGGCGGGATGAATTTGGCGCCGTGCCAAACACGTTCTCCTACAGTGTTGAAGCGAGCAAGTGGCAAGACTGTTTCATATCAATCTTTTTCTACCAACTGTTGTCACATACGTGTTAGCAAATGGCAGAGAACAGCTTGGCACAGTGGCATGTTCATGTTGCCTGACACGCCCTTCATCCACAACTAAGTATTTTTTCAATTGTGTTGTGCTTTACGAGGTTGTCAGGGGAACACTTAGTAAAATGGGTCTAATGTTCCGACTTGATCGCGGTCTCCAGAGGCTTGAACATGTTTCAGGTATTAGATTCCCAACCTACCCCTCAAGCGCATCGTCAACCTAGCGGTTTCGACACCGTGTCAGAACCGCTTGACTTGACGAGACGTTTGGTGGGATAGGTAGAACTGGAGCATGTTCATTCCATGAAAAAATTTGAATCATTCCCTCTCCGATACAGACAGAAGTCAAAGTATTGAGACGGTAGTGTGAGTGTTTGCATAGCGTTCCTCCTATCACATTCTAGCATCGCTACATCACAAGAAAAAACCAAAGCATTACTTGTGTGAGAACATCTGTGACAATATGAGCATCAATACGAGCTTCACTAGGACTGAAATGAACAGTGGCAAGGAGACCTGTGTCGTCAACGTCGCAAAGCGCGAAATAATTGAGTTGAACAGCAACTGAGGCTGCGTTCATACTTGCGTACGGCAGTGTTTTCGCATCCGCTCCGGCGAGTGGAAGCTATGGATATCGACCTTGCGTTTCGAGCTGCTCAAATCAAATTCCTCGCGAAAATGCTGGCGTGCTCTAGATGGACATGCATAATTCCCTAGTCGGGATCAATTATACTCTCCTAGTCGCTGGCGCTGGTACGCTCGATACGCTGCCGTACGCTGACGCAAGTATGAACAAGCCTGACCCACGATGCCTTTTACATGTCAAACAGCTACACAGGAATGTATAGTCAATTCAACTCAGATTAGCTATGCTTAGCACTACGTATCTGAAAGCAGTGCTAGGCATAGCTAGGACGGAGGGTCCAGGCGGAGGAGATGCATAGACGTACAGTAGCGGAACAAAAAAAAAACTTAGAACAAGCCCAAGTTGCGCGTTTTCAGTAGTTTTACACACACTTTTAAATTGCACATGAAAACTTTGTTTGCTCAAATCAAGTACGCCTTAAAATGCTATTCCAAAAAATAAAGTTGTTGATTAGATTCGTTACCGGGACAGAATTTTGAAGATTATTGCGATGCGGCATGCCGCTGCCACTCTGATATTGGACCGGTTTTCAAAGTTTCTAATGCTTTGGGAACAACATAGGTTTCTCGAGAGTTTAAAAAAGAAATGGAAGAAGGGAGCTGACACTCAGACAGGGTGATGTTCTTCCGATAGATCGCAAAGCATTCAGAAACTTTGAAAACCGGTCCAATATCAGAGTGGCAGCGGCATGCCGCATCGCAATAATCTGCAATTTTGTCCGGTGGCGAATCTAATCAACAAACTTTTTTTTGGAATAGCATTTTAAGGTGTACTTGTTTGAGCAAACAAAGTTTTCATGTGCATTTTGAAAACTGTAGGTAAAATTGGGCTTGTTCCAAGTTTTTTTTTCGCAAGTATGTTCAGAATTTGTAGTAAACTTGTTTGCGACTAGCCCTCATCCAGCTTTCACATGAGGCCGTAACATGAGACACCCTCTCCTCTTGTACTGATAAACCCTGCAAAGGATGCAACTTACATCAACGTCAGCTATGGATGTTTTCACTGGCACACATTCATCCGATGAGCACGGGGCAGCCGGGCAAGATATTGAAGACGTAAGGGGGATATGTACATCTGATAAGGGAGGTGCACTGAATATACGAGGAGGACGGCTAGTAGCTAGTTGATATGCGGCAGCAAATGCGCAACTTTTTTCTTTCAATGGGTTCACCTAAACAAGTAGGAGTAGGCTAAGAGACAAAACCACAGACTGAAACAACTGTGCTAGAAAACTCACCTGTTCAGTGAGCTGCTGGATCTGGCCTGCGAATTCTTTTTTGATGACTTCAATGGCATGGAAAACAGCCTCCTTGAAAAAATGAACAAATAATAATAAAACAAAATTGCAGTAGACTACCCCCATAGATTTAAGCGCCTAAACCTGCAAATGGGCACAA